TTCATCAATATATCTTATAAATTGCGGCCTGTAGATTAAACACAAGAAAACAAGACAGATAGACAGACGGACGGACGGACGGACGGACGGACGGACGGGCAGACAGATAAGCTTAGATTCATGCAAAAAATGATTCTGAATCGATCGGTATAATGAAATGTGAGCCTACCTCAACTCCCTATGAGTGTTGTACGACAAGTATTAAAATATTCCTATTTATATTTACCTAAATACCCGTTTCTCATAAAAAAAAAATCGCGCAAAACTGAATCGCAAAACAAAAATATCGAAACGGCAGATATTAACGCGTTGACACGCTCCCAATTAAGAGAAAATTCTTGCGGTGGAGGGTACCCAGTGTTCGTTTCAAAACGAAAGTAGCACTTTTTTTTTTTTGTTTTTAAATTTCATCATGCTATTAAATAGAAAAGAGAGAGGCGCAAAAGAAATCGACACCATGAAAAACACAATGGATTAGCATCAATAAGAATCAGTGTGCGATAGTCGCAACATTTTAAATTAATTAAAATTCATTTGTGTGTTAGCGTTTCCACTTTCATACGCATGTTATTAAAACCAATGATTTAAAAAAAAAAAAAAAATGAAATTCTTTTCATTAAACGATTATTGGCAACAGTGAGAGCACCAAACATCCCAAAAAAAAGAAAAAAAAAACAAACGTTTACGAATATATTCTTATGAATATTCCATTAATTTACATAAAATATTAAATAGAAAATAAAAAAATAAACAAAAAAAAAAAAAAAGAAAGAACAGAGAAAAAATCTTTAAATAACATTAAGGTCAGTCAGTCAGTCAGTCAGTCAGTCAGTCAGTCATTCAGTCAAAGTCAGCCACTCACTCATCCAAACGGTTACAATAATTTCTGTTTTCTTGTCTTAAACTTTTTTATTTATATTAAAATTTGTTTGTTTTTTTTCTTTTTTCTCATCTTTCAGAAAGGGAGAAAGTTGCATGCGGCTATTATATGCTCACAAATTAATATTAATTTATTTCCTAGCGAAAATTTCTAAAATATTCAAAAAGCCAAAACGTACAAAAGTAATAATAGTCGAGAGAATTTATATGGAAAAGCGACGCTCAAGTTGATGAAAGTAAAAGCAGTAGCGATAGATACCTCAAGATAAGACATGATTTTAACAAATAATAGATTTTAAACGAAAATATATATGAAAAGTTCTTGACAAAGACAATGTTTTCTAACTCAATTGCAACTTTCCTGCTCACTAGATTCGCGATTCCGATGGCATCATAGTCTATAGGTACGCATCGTAGATGTATGTACATAATATATAAATAATATATAATATATACATATATGTGTGTGCAGCTGCATGTATAAATATTTGTATATACATATATTTATGCATCGGTATACATAAATATTTGTATATCCTTCTTTTATTTATTTATTGATATATAAAGTTCAGATACAATGACGTAACGCCCGAATCGTGTAATAGTAGACTATTAAAAATAACGCGTATCGGCCAACTAAACATATGAACTTACTTAACTTTTACAGAGCAATTAAAATAAAAATAAGTTCAATTAAATTGCCTCACGTTACCCTACTGCTACTCATATAACCATTTTTCAAAGTAAATTCTTATATGGCAAGTAGTCCGATCCGAAACAATTTCAATAGCATTTTCGTCCTTGTGCGAAAACACATCGTCGGTTTACTAAATTTTATTAAAATCCCCCAATCGCACAATCGACATCAGCAGTGGAATGCTGTGACTATACGCACTTTGTGTAAAATGCATTCGGGATAGTTGGACCAAAGCAATAGTCGGGTATAGCTCACCATTAAATACCTTATATTTCCCTACGGTTGCTAATATAACCACTTTTTCAAGTAAGGTCTTATACGGAAAGTGGTCAAAAATGTGGATCGATCTGAACAATTGTCAATAGCTTTCGTCATTGGGCCAAAAGATGCCAGTCTATCAAATTTCATCAAAGTATCTCAAAACTTGCGGCCTGTACGTTGAACGCAAGGAAACAATACAAACAAACAGACAAGCTTAGGTCAATGCAAAAAGTGATTCTGAATCGGTGCATATAACTTATTTGTGGAGAGCTTCATAAGCAAAGGGAAACGAAATTGTGGATTGAATAGAACCCAAAATCAACGAATGAGTTAATATTTTTCATCATTTTATCTGAATGAACAAAGTATTCGTTAGTCAATCTATTCTTTCTTGACCATGAAAACTGCTTTGGATTGCTTTAGGCTTTATACCGTAGACCTAAAAGAGCACCGTGTGCCCAAATTATTTGCATCAGATTGAAGCAGAAAGGTAACCCTTTACCATCATTAAGATATGTCACAAAATGTCTTGACTTAATTACCGAAGAGAAACCATTAATGTACAGGACGAACTGAAAGAACCTTAGGAGAAACTTGGCATCACGAAGAATTCATTAGAGATGATAAGGGTTAAAAAGATAGGAGGTTAGTCGCTTCAACAAATACGAACGGAAATTTCAACAAGTAGAAAGCTAAACGAAAGGATTGATGAATTTGATAGAACGCCTCACTAAAATCTGTGCATATGACATCCGTCTGTGAGCTACCAGAGAATGCCTTGAAAATTTGATAAGTAAATTCTAAAAGGTTGATTACGGGTGATCTTCGTTCTATGAAGGCATGGCGAGGCGGAGAAATCGTTGATTTGATAAAGGAAATTAATGGTTGAGTAAACAATTTGTTTAAACAATTTTTGATGGAACACTAAACGTTTCTGTACCTTTTTAATTCTCCACAAGATCCATATTTCGTTTTCATGCTGAAGACTAAGGAAAGCAATGTTACGACAACAAGATTGAAAATATTTAGTCGGCAGCGCATAATTTCACAATACATGACGGAATGCCAACGGCATCTGATGCACGGCCAGACTTTATTGACGGTGTAAATTTTGTAATGCGTTACATTCAGAAGTTACCAAGATTAGTTAGTTAGTCCCGCTAATTTTCATCTAAGAGATATACACATACATAAAATGGTATCATTGAATATTAATACATTATTACTAAGCTTCAGTAAAAATTTCAATAAAAGTTGTCAAGCAGTTCAGTTATAAGAGATTGCTAAATAGTTGAAGTCTGCATTTGAAAGTCCTACCGTCAAGCTAAATACGCAAGTGTATAAGTTATCATACTAATGTTCATACAAAATAGTTGCTGGGATAAAACTTCCCCTCCATTTCCCGCCCCCCCATTTGGGGTAAAGCTTTATTTTTTTTGCTTAACTCAAAGGATAGCGCTGCTGAATACTTGCGAGTTATAAACAGTGGATGCGTTACGAATTCCCAAGCCCAAGTAACCATGATGCATGGTAAGCGAACCATTAGCATCAACGATAAAGCCGAATATACGTCAAGGTCCCATTTGAATTATCAGCTGGCCGTGGTGTACGGTGATTTATTCTATCACTAGGAAACATTACCAACAACAACTCATACGACTCCAACGACAAATGAGCGCAACTTACGAAAGTACATGATACCGTGTGTCTTCAGTAACACGTAGCAACACAGCAACATTCGCTTAGGAAATGTTTGCGGGCACAAAAAGTTACACGATACATAACTTCTTATACTCTTTATGCATACAAATCGCTTAAATTTTATGCCTAACCAGGGAATATTCAGTGCATGGCGAGGTACTCATCAAAAGCATTTACGGAAAACATGTGTGTAATTAGAACATAATTGTCATTCAGTTACTTTGAATTAAATTAAATTGGTTAAGGGAATATTTAGCAAATTATTATTGTTGTTGTTGTTGTTGTTTAAGAGAGACTACCGTCTTCGTTATTTCGCATAAACAGCGCGGAACAGCGCTCGGAGTCATCAACACATTGTCCTCAAAACCGATCGTCTTCCCCTCTTTTCGAAAACAACTTTGAACTCTTCTTTTATTTTTTTCGGCAAACAAGAATCGCCACAACATCTCTCAAATCAATCACTGTTGATTGCGAACAAGTGAATTTTTTAGAAGCGTAGAAGCGTATATTAGGTTTGCGCCGGAGACTAGGCTTATTTGTCCGTCTGTCCATCTTCTTGTCTTCAGCCTACAGGTCGCAATTTTTAATACATATATTAGTACGAAACCCGGTACACATCGATGTCTTTTGATCCAAGAACAAGCGCTTTTGGAGTTGATTCGGATCAATTTTTCGTTCATAACGTGTCATATAACGCCTTAACTTGAACACCATTCATTTGTAGAGTTCTTAATCGCTAGACTTGTTAATCATTAACAAGCAACATTCAATCAACAAACAATATTCGAAATATTCCATTCTTTCAAAAATTGAACAAACAGCGTCGCTAAAAGAAGTGTAACTTGGTAAACCAATGATCGAAATGTCATCAAATTTTGGCACGTATCGTTTGATGGTAGGAAGTACTATCCAGAAATTGTAGGCCTCTGTCAACAGTGTTACCCTATTATATATGTCGAACAGGGCAGTTATTCGTGTGATGGGTTACGCAGATCTAATATAAAGAAAGGGTATACGCTAAGCGTTTCAGAAGCCTTCACGTCCATATCAAGCAACAAGCATCATACATATATTTGTATAGTTGCTTTATGGATTTTAATTTTTGTGAAAAGAAAAAGGAATTCAGTTAAACCTCGTAATGAAAGTGTCATTCAATTTTCAACATTTTGAAAAATTTATTGAAATGTTAATAAAAAGCTAAAAACTCGATTAAGGATAATTGAATTTTCACCTGTGCATGGACGACAAAACAGAAGGCAAAAAGTGAAAAAGACTTTATATAATCCTGCGTGACGCAAAACGAAGAGATATGGATTTCAATTAATAATAAAAATTGATTGGTTTGGTCACGTAGCGAATTTAAGCTGGTTATTATTATGAATATTTTTTTTTTATTATTTTTATATATTATCCACTTTTACATTCTTTAACCATTTTCTTGTATTTGGCATTATACTTATAGAAACCTACGGTCGGCGGTGGTAAACCAACAAAATATCACTATTATCCGCACAATCAACACATTTATATGTTGCCCGAATGTGCGATACAACAAGTCTGTAATGCGGTCTATGTGCGTTTAAATTATACACAGCCACTGTGCGCTTGTCCATCAAGGTAAGAGAGTAAATTATGCGGTAAATTATTTATTTAAACTTGGTTTCATCATAAACTCCCTAACCGAGGATAGTAATTTCGTCAATCAGTTTGTAGCATCTCGAAATAGTCATCAGTATCGTGCATATCTTTGGCCGAAACGGCACTCTTACAGGCTATTTATCCGTACGTCCGTCTACCAATACTCATATTATGGTCTATTTACTTTATCTGCATTTCTGTTTGTCTGTGTGTCTGTCTGTGTGTCTGTCTGCCTGTATTAAGAAAATCGCAAAATCTCAGATATTATAAAATAGGAAAATGAAAGTTTACCATACTTGATTCAAGTTAAGCATTTCGCGTATACAAAAACAAAGTATGAAATATTAAATTATCATATTTAATAGCTTATGATCTGTACTATATATTAATCAGAAATTTGATCTAAATAATAAATAACTAGTCGAATATAAATAATTGCAATTGACCCATAAAACAGATATGTTCATACAAACTCTCATTAGAGAGTAACGGCGTTCAAAATTCGCTTCAACACGAATCGAGTTTCCTTGATCGTTTTTGTTCTTTTTTTACACTTTCCTTGGAAAATCAAGTCTACGCGATTATTATGGTCGCACATACAGTTACATTACATTATAACCTGTATCAACCATTTCATCACTTGCCCCATCCAAACAATGTGTGCTGTTTCGCGTGTTCCGTTCAATACCATGAAGCGTAGCTGTTCGAAAATTGAATTGATTACCGCCTGATGAATAGAGTTGTGTTGTGCAACAGCAAAAGCAACAAACACATCGTAGAGCATAATTGTTTTGGGTGGTTGTTGATTGGATGAATGTATGTGTAATTTAAACTGATTATATATTGCCTACGATTGAGATCTTTAAAACCCATATTTGTGTGCCGATGAAATGAATGATTTTTATGCATGATAGTTTTCTCTTGTCTGCACGAATGTGCTGAAGCGCAAAATTATTTCATTTTCATTTATCATTTTTAATATTTTATTCTCTCTTTTGCTTCAGATATCGTGATCCTTGCTCCGCCAGTTTAAATGAAGATGATCAGCATACCACTAAATTAGTGGGTGACATTAAAAAAAAAGTAAGTGAAATGTATAACATTTTTAAGAATAAGTTCTTCATTAAAAAAAAAAAAAGAAAAAAAGAAGAAAAAAAAAACAAGTTTTACAATTTGAATTGATTTGAAGCCCTTCCACGTGATAATGTAAGTAGGTCTAAGACTTACTTGTCTATATTACTCGCAAAATTTACCGTTACGTAAAATTGTAAATAAGTAAAAACCTCATAATATGCTATCATAAAATGCCCTACATCATTCCACTATTCAAAACAAGTCGAGATGGTCGTAAAAGTGCTCCGATCTGAAAGACATTTTCAAAAGCACTCATCCTTGGCCCGAAGTAGGTCGATGTTCCAAACTTCATTAATCCACCTTACAAATTTGCAGCCCATATATTGAACACAAGAACACAGACAGACAAACTCAGACCGATTCTGAAGTTAACGTAATCTGATTCGATCAGTATAATCAAAAAAATGTACATCAGCACAAACTTAAAATGCCTTTTACACCACAAATGGTGTAAGGTATAAAAAGACATAATTGTCAAGACGAAATGTACGATTGGAGTTCAGTTTATGGTCAACGGTAAAGACCCTGATTGTTCTCAGAATATCAAAAATGAGCAAGAGGTTAATTCGAATTTAACCACCTTATCATAAAATGCCTTATCTACGACATGAAAATAATTCATTTCCTTATCTCCAAGCTGATCGCATTTGCTATCTGTAACAATGTCGCGCAATTCATATCAAATTTTTCAATAAAAGTTCGTAGTTGCGGATTTGCTTCGAATTAATTTCGCACTGACGCGAATGCATCACAAAACTCTTCCTCTTTTCCCCCGTCCCATTACCTATGTCCTGAGAAAAGAACTGCACTCGACTCTTTCAGAATACTCGTGTGGAGAGTTGTCCTTGCAGTTGCCTTTCCCGGCGTTCGTGAAGTTAGCAAAAATTCTGATAAATCTGATCTAGACTATGACAGAGGGAAACGGGGCGATGAAGAGAAGATTAAAAGGCTAATATAAAGCATGGACTGTACGGGTGAATAGATCAGAATTTGCCAATCAAGCCCCCTCAAGTCTCCCTCTACCAAGCCTTTAACGATGTAATATAGCCTGATGATTAAACTTGGATCCTTTAGATCGATTGCGTGTTTTAATCTCATTATTTAGTGGCAATAGAGAATGGATACGGTAATCTGGCTAGGTTGAAGCTACCTGGAGATACATAATTCCTATCTAATCCTGGCGAACATAATGTGTTACGCTATGAGGTGGCGACAGTCCGAGCTATATGCTGCCTTCATATTTTACCACTATGTTCTTAGTACATTTTTGTCATATTCGTCAGTGCGTTGTTAAGGAAATTCTCCAAAACTTGTCTCATCAGCTGCCATTCACAGATGGAAATTCGTTCAACTTGGAACTTTTCAAAATTAATTCATATGATAACCAAACTATCCATACATTAAACTGGTTTTTGTAGCCAGTTGAGTTCCGCAGAGATATCGTAAGATGAAATATGTCGGTCTTTCTCAATTTGTTAAAGCATTTATCATCGGTAGCCCGGAGAGCATCAAAGAATAAAGCATCTTCGCGATAAGCGCCACAAATATCTGATAGCCCGCCTTTATCGAACTGATAATAAAGAACATGAGCAAATTTTTCCAGAATTTTACTTCACTTTCAAACCGGATTTTATTTTCGACTAATATAATATATATGTGAAATGCTTTCATAGCTGAATTAATACATACTGTAAACTGAAAGTCGGAAACCATTTTACTTCATTCATTTTTCGCTTCTCACTTTCTGAATCTATGGAAGATAGTCTGTCAGTCTATCTGTCTGTGTGTCTGTCCGTGTATTCATGCGATCAACTTATTGGTCGCAAATTTTTAAGATAGCTTGATGAAATTTGATACAGGGACGTATTTTGATCGAATTGGACGAATGCTATTGGATATATTTCGAAGCGGACTACTTTTTCGATGACTTGGCTCATTTTAAAAAGTCGCTACACGAATAACTACATCAAACGATGTCATGTAGCGTATTGAATGTTCACTTGTTTTTCTTTTTCTTTTTCTTTTTTTTTATTTTAAATCATTTTTCAATCAGAATTGTCAACTTTCGCATATGTATATGAAGGGTGTGACGTGATAACGGAATTTATACAACTCTAAAGTCATCGGTTAAGATTAATGATACAAACTTCCTTTTTAATCTAGTACGACATCCACTTTTTAATTGCATATAAAATCATTATTTTCTTTAAAACCGAATCATTAGCTTCTAATGAGATGAAAATTTTCATAATAATTGAAGAATTTTTATTCTCAAATGCTATGTAATGAAGCAGGAGAGAGAGCCTGCCTGTCTATGCTTAAATAACTATAATAGAGAAAGCACTATGCATACTACTGTCTTATATTATATTTTATTTATATTAAAATGAATATAAATTAAACATTTAAATGCAACGACGACTACTTAAAAGAATAACAATAACAACACTCATTTCCATGTCATATGTAAAAGTAAGAACTAACTAGTGAGTTAACGACATAAAAAAAAATAAATAAATAAAAAAAAATAAACAAACAAATAAATAAATAGAAGAAGATGGATGGACATATGAATTAATAGGAATGAATACATGAATGATATTGTACCTACATCTGAAATGGGATTAAGATGGATAGGATGATAGTAACAACTTCAGACATAAAATCAAGAAAAATATAGTTTTCTGTTGTTGCAAATGCCAGGGCAGGCTTGTAAACGAACGAGGGAAGAAAAAAAAAAGAAGAAGAACAGTAGCATGTAAGATGTTTACTTCGCGTACATAAGTTAAGGCAAATGCACAGATGAATAGAATAGAATAGAATAGAATAAAATAGAATAGAACGACACGACACGACACGACACGACACGACAGACAAAACAGAGGGGCGAACAAACAAATGATCAAATGTTATACACATAACTAACTAAGAGCTTTTAAAGAGTTGAAATTTCTCTGATTTGAAATTCAAGTACAGTGCACTATGGCGGAGAACAATTTTTTGTAAGCATTCTTCACAATCCAATAGAATAGCGATAGCATGAACAATAACAAAAACATCGGTCGAATAACCGAAAAGGAAATAAGAAAAATAATAATAATAATAATAATAATAATAATAACTTTTATTGCATTTAATGTTAACTGCACACTGAAAGATGTCTAAACGCTTTAAAATAGAGTTTTAATATAACCCAACCATCTATCTTTTGTTCGTGTTGTTTTTGTGGGTTCGTTTTCGTTTGGCGCTGCTTTTTTGCTTTTTTCTATCTAATGCGATACGTAAATGTATTTATTAGAGTTTAATCAAGTCAAAAAAGAAAACTACGAACAATCAACCGCAACCATGGCAGCAATAATAACAATAACAATAACAACAACTATAATGAATTGTTTCTCGTATCGTATCGTATCGTTCGTTCTAGCTTTCCTCACAACAGGCGAACTGCGGATAAAGTTTGCTGCTATTGCTGCTGCTGCTGTTGTTGTTGTTGTTGTTGGTTACTACTCTTAAGACATGTGAAAAATATTATGTTTAGTTAGACAAGTTGATAACCGTGGAAATTGTATTTTGTGCAATATATACGTGGATACATACATACGTATACATATACACGTAAACGAGTGCGCATACATGCTCGCTAATCCATTCAATGAAAGCCATTGTTTATGAAAAAAGAACAGCATCATGCTTAGAGGAAATCATGATTTGGAAAGGGTCAGAAAGATAAGCTTGTTTTTTTTATTTTTTATTTTTTTTTTTTTTTTTTTTTGATGATTACCTTCTTCAATTTAGCGAAGACCTCTTTTGACTCTGTGGAATTTCTTAATTACAGAGAAAAGACAGCAGAATAAATAAAGAAAGAATGTGTGTAAACCAATCAATTACTCAATCAATCAAACATTTACGTTTATTATACTTATGCACGAGTTAATTATAATGGATTCTTTCCAGGTATACACATACATGTATACATACATTTGGTTAGATTAATATTTCGAATGATAAAGGCATGAAGAAAAAGCATAAAGAAAAGGAACTGTAGGCGGAAAAGTATTCCAAGGTCTCTTATTAATATTCTTGTTAGCAAATTGTCACTTATTTCCCCAGTAGATGTGTGTTCTGACACTAATTCTATAATTTTATCAAAACTTGCGGACAACAATGAATCTGCTCAGAGGTTTCAAAAATTATATGTCCCTCGGGACTCTCCACCATCGAGCATCCAGTTTAGCATCTTTGAAACGTCAGGTATACTCTTTATTGTTAATGATCTTGATAGAAAAAACGAGTCTGCATTCAAGACGCGTTCGAGCCATGTAAAGCCATGCCACTAATCGAAAGTTACAATAGTTAAAGCAGACTTACTTGAGTTTAAGCTATTTATTGCCTTCTCGGAAGAATCAAATCAAGACAAAAGGGTTAAATAAAGACTTCAAGTAGACCGGAAATGACGCAACTATTTTTCACCGATTTTGACCGGAAAATATTAAAAAAGGGATAGTTTCGCTCACGTAACAACTTGTTGCGAACAAGATGTAAGATATGAGATATGGTCGCAAAAATTTGTCGAATCGAATCTATTTTAAACTGACTTTGTTCTTCGGCCAACATATATAAACGCACTAAGTTTTATCTGCAGAAAGAATATAAAAATACATAGACAAACATAAGATGAACTCACACAGAGAATTCAGAGAATGATTCTGAATTGATTGTAATAATGAGAGGTAAAAAAAACATTTTGGATTTTCAATACATCCCCACAAACTCAATGTACTCTTACCTCAAATGATTCTGATAACATTTTGGTTTCTCAACACAACTGATGTATGGACATTCTTATCAAATAAATAAGTCCTCTTATAGAAACTATATCGAATCTTTAACATTCTTGAATAGGAATTTATTCAAAATAGTCGTTTGACTTATATAATATAAATTTGCGTATTTTTTTTTTTTTTTTTTTTTTTTTAACACAGATTTTGGATACCTTATATGAGCAGTCTCATGGAGAGACAGCCTGTAATATTGTATAATTTTTATTGTATAATTCTTAAAATTTTATAATCAACATGGATAACGAATTGTAGTGTATTTAAAAATTGGCCTTGCCCAACTTGCCCACTATTTATATATCTCTTTTATACCTTACAAAACTAGTGATCAAAAAATATATTACGATTGTACGGATATATGCAACACCCAGAAAAACTTAAAATAGATCCTTCTTTTAGTCACAATTATGTTCTAAATCGATTTAAGTTTGTCTTCTCCTCTGACTGTTCTGTTTTCTCGTGTTCAACTTACAAACTGCATCTTTTGAGATATTTTGATAAAGTTTGATACAGTGGCGTGTTTTAGCCAAATAACGAAAGTTGTTAACAAATCGGTCCACTTTCTTTACCACCTTATTTAAAAAAGTCGTTATATGAACAACCGTAAGGAGATATAAGCTATTTATCGATGAGTTGTACCCCACTATTGCGTTTGTCCAACTATCCCGAATGCATTTTACACAAAGTCTTTATACTCAAATCATTTCACTGCTGATGTCGATTGTGGGATTAAGCATAACCATAGCATTGACAAGCCAACTATTCCGAGATCCTTTGTGTCCGATATTTAGTCAATTTTCGCTATAGAGATATATATAGAAAGTACCAATATATTGTAACTAAAAAGTGCATATGTATCCATAATTTTGACTCTCAACGTCGGTATATTCTTCATTGTCACAGATTTTATATATTGCGCGAACACAAAACGTATAAAAAGTTTTCAAGAAATTTTCGTCGTCATATTACTTTTTCATTAATTACTTTTATCCCCCATACCACTTGTAGTAAAGAGTAAATTAAGTTAGTGCAGTCATATGTAACAGGCAAAAACGCTTAAGATAGACCCACCTTTTACTATACCGATCGATTCAGAATCATAATCTGAATTGATCTAAGCCTGTCTGTCCACCTAAGTGTCTAATGTTTGTCTATGTAAATTTGTGTTCAAGCCACAGATCGCAATTTTTGAGATATTCTCATGAAATTTGGTAGAGTAACGTGAACGAACGGTCAACTTTTTCGACCACTCCCCAGATAATGTACTATTTTGAAAAGTCGTTGTATGGAAAAAAATTGCAATTTTCAAAATATCTCAGCAAATGTGGTTAAGTAGTAGAAGTATTTGGGCATTCTACATGCGTATAAAAACTTAGGAACGGGTGGGGTAATTTTTAAAGCCCCTCATATAGCTAAAGTTTATACGACAAAATAATAGAATTTTTAATGCTTTATGATGAAAATTATATCGTAATAGTAATTTAACGTAGAAAAATTAATTGCACCAAATTCGGATCATTTCGATCTATTTTTTGGATTCTACCCTAATAGGGATTTTTCGCGAAAATTGATCCTTTGAAGAATAGAAGAGACTAAGTTTTAATATGAGATAAATAATAAGAATTGTGTTAGACAATGTGCTGTAGGGTATTTAATGGTCGGCTTTGCCCGACTACAATGTTCTTGCTTGTTATTGACTTATATCTTTATTTTCTATTTATTTACGGGTGCGAACCGATGAACTAAGTTACAACTTGCTATGAAAACTTTTGCAGGTTAAAAAATGCCTTGTCGTCCGTCTGACGTTGACATATTAAATTCAACTTTCTTTTCTTTTTTTTAAACCAAAATGTAGTCAATCATTCAGAAAATTCCTTCTATACGTGCAACAGAAATCAGGAAAGTAGCTGCAACCTGGTGGGTACATGCCCAATCTATAAGTACTATGCCTTTGCCGTCTGAGCACTCAGCCTAGCTACGACCACACTGAACTCTACTGCACTGAGATTTGAATCTCCGAAGAACATTGGCCTGATAATCGCTTTACTCACTTACTCGACTAGCCATGATGATTGAGAATAAGTATGCGCTATAGCATCTCTCAGCTGCAAAATGGAAATAGTTATAACTAACGTGCACTCTGCATCACAAATACTCTACATCGGCTAATTTTTTATGCATTAATTCGAACACATGTTTACAAAAAATTCACATAAATTTCATTTTAGATTTTTTTCTTTTTTTTTGAGATATTGAGCTTTTCTGAACCAAAGCAGTTAAGATAAGAGATCGAATTGCCTTATATATCCAACATGTTGTTAATTTATATGCATTGCCAGTGATTTTATGCCATCAATCGTAAACGTAAGCTCTATTTTAATGTAAGATGATTTTAATGAAGAATTCTCCTCGTAACTTCTGAAAGGAGGCCTTTTTTTATATGATAATACAAAGGGCGTTTCAAGGACAACAATCAGCAGAGAGTAGCAAACTTTGGCTGATTAAAAAGAGTTAAAGGCGAGCCAGGAAAGAAAAACAATTAAAAACGAACTCTAGTGGGACACGACCCATTGTTAAATACCCTACACTATCCTACGATTTTTCATAGATCAAGTTTTTAAAATAAAGCGTCAAAACGGTAGTCCGATCCGAATCATTTCGAATAACTTTCATCCTTGGGCGAAAACAAGCAACTGAGTGTATTAAATTTCATCAAAATATTGTAAAAATTGCGGTTTGTAGTTTGAATACAAGAATACATTGACAGACGTCAGATGGACAGACAAGCTTAGATCTATGCGAAAGGTGATTATGAATCGATCGGTATAATAAGAAATCCTTCTGGGTGTTGCATACATCCGTCCAAATTTGTACCACAAATGATGTAGAATATAAAAAATGAGCGAAAATTGTGGCTATCATTATAAACCCAAAAATTCAATGGTAATAATATTATAAAAAAAATGGTAAAGAAAATAATGGGAAATCTTAACTTTTATATCACTTAACAACTTAGAAAAATGGGAAAATCAAACTACTACTGTTACTGCTGTTACCACTACTACCACTGCTACTACTGCCTGCTCCTATTAAATTTTCCTCATAATCGCCAACATACATCACAATAATAAAAAAAAGAACAGTTCTAAAGTCACAGCAACTTCTTGCATGCGATTTTCTCAATGAAATCAAGTTGTCTAACAAATTAGACGCATACATGCACACATACGTACGCTAGGTTATATAAGCCGATTTGAATGTTAAACATAAACCGATGCTCATAATAATTACTATTTTAAAGTCCTAGGAACATACTTTTGGCGATCGTTTCAAATGAAAACACAACTGTATGTAATTCAGTAAAAGAAAGAATATTTGATAACATATAATAGCATGTTACTGTTGTTGTTAACGTTAATCGTATAGCCAGAAGTATGTTTAATAGACGTTTTCCAAAAAAAAAAAAAAAAAAAAAAAAGTTAAGACTAGACAAAAAATTACGTGTTGCACAGGCATACATACACGAAAACAATTACGAAAATGCTAACTGGAGGCTGAAGAGGAAAAAAAAAAAGAAGAAAAACTTTGCAAAATAACAACAAAAGAATATAGTTTGTATGGCGTTAATGACAAACTCAGTGTCTACTGTTTGCCAAATTGTGCTCACAAGAGATTGTCTGAAAAATAAAAAAAATAAATAATTTATGCTAGTTTCCACTATACAAATCACTTCGTCTACGGTTGCATGTGTTTATTTTGTACATGTTATGTACATGTGATACGCATGAAAATAAGAAAATAAAACAATTATCTCATACATATTTAAAGATAAATCTGTTAAGCAATGAAGTGCTACATTTAGATGAAAGAACAAAAGACTTCTCTCAAATTATATAAATTGCTTTCAACGGTTTTTTGATAAAATGATATTAAACTTAGATTTTTTTCATTTCGTTCATAATTTTTAAAAGAATTTCGCACTTAAGTCATTCTTTTACAATTCATTTTTATTGTATTCGGCAAATTTCTAAATCGATGTAAAGTTCCGTGTCTAAGCATAATACGGCAACGAGATTCGAGCAAAAAGCTTCGAGCTTTCGTTTAAAATTAATTTTCCCATCAGATTTGTGTTGACAATAAATGGATGATAAAGTTAAAAATTTAACCACAGTTTTTAAAGCGAGTATGCAACCAATTTTCATTACACAAAGAAAATTCCGGCGGAATGAAATTTTTCAAAGCCATCAAACATCGACATTCGGCGACTTCAAGAATCGTTCAATCGATGCCCCAAGCATCATCAATAAGTTTTACGGTTTAATTCGAAAGATTTTTGAATCGAAGATTTACGTAAACGTCGATCTGTGAATTTTTTGTTTGTAACACTGTACAAACAGCTTATTAGAAATTTCGATAATTATATTGTTGTTATTGTTTTTTAATTAGGCAATTACTTTGGCTAAAACCTGTGAGGCAACAACAGAAATGCGAGAATGCCGTACACCTAAGGATTGGTCGTTACTAGCATTACAGAACACCCGCACGGGCAAATCGCATTATTTGGTTATTTGTAGATGTCCGGATCACTTTAAATTAGGTAAGTGAAATAATTCAAGGAATAATTGCTTCGTTTTTTTTGTTGTAATCTCATGCTAATGAAAATGTCATTGTTATAGATGGTCCGATGGCTCACGATCAAAATACTTATGCCAGTGTTCCAGGTATACGTGTTTTTGGTATGATGTGTGTTAAACCGGGCTATTCAATACGCAAGCCATCCGCCCAACCACCTAAACGTTATCAATTGCAAAAACCTTTTTATAGGCCTGGCAGTCAAACCTCTTCCAACCTGTATGGCAGTAATAAAGATGTTTTTAATCGTCCCTCCTACGGTGGAATAAGCTCATCGCTTGGTTCTCACTACCACAGCATTGACAACTATGGCATACAGTCGCCTCAACAGAGCAGCTACCAATATTTGAATCGTCCGGAAAGCACAATAAATACCAACTATCCCAGTCAATATCAATCGCGGCCAGATCCGATTTCGATAAATAATTTCCCAGGCGGCAGCTACGGCCGAAACAGGGAACGTGAAGGCAATTTACCGATTGAAGCAGCGACCGAATTAGACGAAAATAAAATTTTAATTAGCACCAGTACCCAGGCTAACAACGAGGAGTCACGAACAACAGTAATCGATCAAGATGATATACCGATTGACGATTTAGAGAGACGCGAAAAGAGATCAATAATCGAAGAAATTGAAGGTGATATATCTTGGAACGATATGCCAGAATTTCCTTGGGAACGTGTTAAAGAATTTGAAAAAAATATAGTATGGGGCTAGAGTTACAAAAACAAACAATAGAAAAGTATTTATAAAGAGAGAGATCGGTGATAGAGATAGAAATTTAATCTATAAGTTAAAAAAAAAAAAAAGAAGAGATTTGAAAATACACGCAAAATGCGACTTTTACTACTCTTGACTGAAAAATCGGAATATAATAAACAAATTATCAATAAACTAAACGGAAAGCAAAACCAATTTTAAGTAAATAAATAAATTTTAGTAAATTCATTAATAAATTTACTAAAATAATTAAAAATTTTAATTAACTAATAAACATATGAAAATTTAATTAAGTTCTTTAAAAAAAAAAAACAAAAAAAATATTCACTAAAAATTTATAATTTTTGAAGGCGAAATTATATAATTAATCAAATAATTTTCTTTTTTAACTGTAAAAAAAATTGTTTAATTAATTGAAATTTACATGTAACAAAGAGTTTTTAAATAAATTCTAAATTAATTTTATCAAAAATCCCTATAGTATCCCCCTCCGTCGTCTCTTATATAATGCTGGTGTTTAATTGATTTATTTTAGTGTTATTTTATATTTATTTTTTTAATTATTTTACCTAATTTTATATATGTAATCATAATAAGCAGCATTTATTAATTATAGATTCGATGTACTTTTTACAAGAAAAAAAAAAAAAAAGTCTCAAGAAAATTATTAAGATTTTTTTAATTGCATTTATAAAACGAAAATATGTATGAATTAATAAAATAAAATTAAAAAGCTTTTTTAATAATATTTCCTTGTTTAATAAACTAAAATTAAAAAAAAAAAAAAAAAGAGAACGTAGGCGCGTAAACTTACTCGCCCTGAGGCGAATCGGAAAAGGCCATTTACATCGATAAATATAATTGTAAACCAACATGTTTGCCGGCATTTCTCCTTTCAATTAACCACTCACTCGATTGTCTTATCAGCGATCTCAAGCTTCTGGTTCTGGTATCACGTTAAAAATATGCATGAAGAAGGCACAACTATTATTTGATTTACTTCTCACAGCTAAGAAATTGTTATATGGCTTATGGCCAATCCTGAACATTTACTTTTGTTATAAACAACTTTGATAATTAATGCCAAATATTTCCACCAACTATACACCAGAGTCTGCAAGAGATTGTAAGGCATATTTTTATCTACTTTCTGCCTGACTGCGAAATATCCCGACTAATTTACGATTGTCTTCAAAGTTGACCTGCAGAACTAATCTACGAATCTGTTAACCGTTTTTGAGCAATCGCATAGAAACCTTTTTAAACTTTAGCTTTAAACACCAACAAATATATGATAGTTCATATATCGATTGCTTGTGAAAGCGAAGGAACAACTGCGAAAGATATAGTCATATAGTAACTGCGAATAAGCCAAATTAGATTTTTTAAAGTAATTTTCTCAACAATAGAAACAGGTTAAAAAACATTGAACCTCTGTGCGAAGCATACGCAAGAAATCTTTTAACCGATTTCACGAGAATTTATTTACATATGCAGGAGCTAAAAATTAATAGCAAGCAAAGTCCTTTCTCTTCTGCTCAAAAACTCCATACGCTATCGATCTGAGCCAACACGCTTTGTCAACATTATTACTGGCAGCCAGTTAATTTCACATTTTTTCAGTTCGCTTACTTACATTTGAAATATTCTTCTATGAACTTATTTCAAATGCTAGTATTGAAACATAAGAATATCTGTTTATTTGAAATCATCAGAAAATCGGGTCGACGAGATTTTGAGATTTGATCTGGATACAAGGAAAAAGCTTATATAACAAAATATACGTGCTATCTATCTATCCAGAACTAAATTCTCGACTGATTGATTAGACGATTACGTATCGAAAATTTGAAAATTTCTATTTAAACAGATTACCAAATTTGCAGCTAAATTAATCTGTTTACAGATGCTACGGAAGACACGATGGAAATGCATTTTACTTTAGGTTGAGATGCCTTTCTATGAAATATATTTAGAACACTTTGCAGAGTACTTACCCAATACTTCAGCATCAACGACAATATTGCAGCTATACATTGGGCTAACTAATCGTTGGGGTTGATTTTGAAATGCCAGGCGACAAGCTTCTTTAGAAGCATTTAAAACTTGCCCTGAAGGGGGAAAAACGAATATATATGTGAATATGTAAAATTCATTGAATATTAGAAATAATAATTTAAAATCAGTTTATGAGCAGTTTACCTGAAAACGGCCCAAATGTTTTTGAATGCAAGTCATCGCCATCCTTTACTGTCCATTCCATTACAATAAAGCAAACACCTTGCATGGGCTCTTCGCATAATGGGCCAGCGGCCGTAGTTAATTGAAAACCACTAACAAAAGAACTATTGTAATCACGACGGACGTCCATCTGCTTTTCGTTATTAGCATGCACTGTTAACTTAGACAATGTCTGCCATATATTGGGATGCTCATAATCGGTTAGATTTAATAATATGTTGCAACCACAATGTTTTGGCCCGGTCGACCAAATACGTTCAACGAGCTGCTCTTCTGACAAGTCAGTTAAACACTTGCATTCGAAATCTTTAAAAGCATTTTGCAATTGACTTTTAATATGCTGTAAGAGTTGTAGAGACTTCTCGGATGTATCTTCATTTTTGAAAAAATCATGAAATTTTTCTAAAATACACACAATAGCTTGGGGCAGCGGTAAAGCTATCACTTTCAAAGTACTCAATTTATTCAAAGTTTGCACACAAGCAATCTTGTTAGTAATATCCTTTTCTTCTGAACTCTTAACAATAGCCTCATTTACCATATCTGTTGTAGCTTCAGGTACAATGGTTTCTCGGAACGATACAATCGGTTTGGAAACGTTTACTTTGATTTTCGCATAGCTATCTTCAAGATCTCGTACGCATTTCTCAACATGCACTTCCCCCAAAGTGGTAATGACGTGTTCTCCATTCGGTTCAATGGAAACCTGAACACACGCGTCGGCTTGATTTAACAGCCGTAGGCCCTTGACCAATTTAGGCATATCGGCAGGATTAACAGGTTCAATAGCTACACGGAGAATGGGTGTAGCCATTATCGTTAAATCGCTAAAAGAAGTACAGTATAAGGTACTACTAAGAGTGGCACTTTTGACTATGTCCTTTTCCAAACCACCAATTCCTACTATGTTGCCGGCAGGAACCTCATCTAACGCTTGCAATTCGCTACCCATAAACAAATACAAATCTCCGATAGTTACTTCACTTACATACGGGGAATTGAGATTCAATAATCTAAAGGAGAAGTTTTTTACATTTTACGCAAAAAGTTTAGAAATTTTTTTCAACTTACTCCTTTTTTCTAGGATCATGCTTGGGTGCCAAATTATATAATTTCATGCCTTTCCTTAAAGTACCAGAAAATATTCGAGCAAAGGCCACAAATACAAATTCTTCGACATTTTCCTCTAATACTTCTAATGTCTCGTGTTTGATTTCACTTGTAGTTAACTCCTTCAGGTCACGAGTTATGGTGACCAACTCATTTTGAGCAAGCATTTGCTTGCGTTCTTCTATGCGCCTACGTACCTCATCACGTCTTTCTTGTAATTCTTCTTCAGTTAAACGCTTAGGCTTGTTTTGAGGTAATTGTGATATGTGCACAGGTGACATTTTCGATACGTGCACAATGACATTTTGCGATCTATCATAACATTCTTTGAAGTCTTCTGTCAAAAATAACGTCTGCCTGGGGTATAAATTCAAATCCACATTTTGGGGAAAAAGTAAACGGTGGGCACGTTCTTCGTCAATTCTGTTAGGAGGAGGAACGTTATTAATCACCATTTCTAAAATGGTGCGATGTACCGGAAGCCACTGGCCCATAATTGTTTTAATCTGTGCTTTGCAATCAGCGATACGTAAATCACGCAGCTGCAGTTTGATTCCGAGTTTTTCAGCTATTACTGATAGAATAGAAAACAAAAAAAGTTATTTAAGGAAAGCCTTTGAGACTTATTGTATCTTAAACCTGGTATTTTTTCTTTTTCCTTTCTTATGGCTATTATATCGTATAAGTTCCATATATTTTCTAAAACGATTTGCACAAACATGGGCTTCTTCGCTTTTTCCTGCGCGCCCGGTAGCGCGCATTTCTTTTTGTTGTTATAGTAAAAATCGCCCCATAATACTTTCGCTAACTGCTCTGCCGGCATTTGTAATCGGTCGGCATAAGTTAAAGCAAACTCGTGCACTCCAAAAGCCCAGCCATCGTAAGCCGAACAAAACACTACATTTCCTGCAGCAGGGATGAAATATAAGCTTGAATCGTCACTTCGTTGTAAAGCCGATTCGTAATTGTCTCTTTCACTTAAATCTTCGTTACCCAAAACATCTGAAGCAAAAATACTGCCCAACGCGGCATTAACTTGCTCCAATACTTGACTAATGTGAAAATATGCGTCTAAAGGAGTCAACTGTTTTTCCATAATTAGCCGATCGATTTTGTTTAATACGAGTACTGGCTTCATCTTCGCATTGTAGATCTGTTGAAGACAGGCTCTTGTTTGAGGACAAACGCCTTCTACGACATCTACCACAACGATGGCACCATCGCACAACCGTATAGCAGTCGAAACTTCACTAGAGAAATCCACATGACCCGGGGAATCGATTAGATTTACTAAATAATCTTCAGAATTACTTTCGGAACGATAATGCAACGAAATACTGCTGCTTTTCATGGTGATGCCGCGCTCTTGTTCATCCGGACGGTTATCTAAGTAACGTAGCTTACCAGCCATCCTTTGCGATATAATTCCATTACTAGCCACCAACGAATCAGCTAAAGTAGTTTTACCGTGGTCGACATGGGCCAAAATGCATATGTTCCTTACTCGTTCAACAGATTTTTGTAGCTTGATTATATCCGCAAGATTGACCACAGGCATATCGCAATCGCAATGTGTCTTTTAAAACTAATCAAGGAAGATTTTACGTTATTCACTGTTGGAAATCAGCGCACAAGTGTTTATAACCAATTTTAGTTACAGTGAATAAAAAAACCTTTTACTTGCTTTCGTTCTTGCATTCAAAAGCACGTTTAGCTGTAATCTATTGTATACACTAATGCTTCCTTAAAGATTTAATAAAATTTCCGTAGTAATCGAAATAAATTTCGCGCACTTTTATTTGTTTACATTGTATGGTGAAATTCAACTTGAAAATCAGCTGTTGCAATTACAATAAAAATGCAAATAAGATTTTACAACGCTGTAAAAATACGTATGTGCGCAAGCAGTAAAAGTAGTACCGTGTGTGTTTGTTGTTGCATTTTGCGCATATATATATTTGTTTACATTCTATAGAATCGTTGTTGACATTGAACAATCGCAACTTATATGATTATATTAAGCGAATAAAGCCACAAATTATTAAGTGAATATTTTCATTTAAAGGGGAGGAAATATTTGAATTTTTACTTAATTCTATTAAAGTAATTTCACTTTTTTAAATTTTAAAAAGAAAACATTTTCGTTTCTTCAACAATTTTGCAGAATTGTTTAGAGTGGACGTGTAAGCCATCATCCATGGCTTAGTCCAGTTATACTCATCAACCCGGAATAAAGTACTCTTTTTTTAAAGAAATAAAATAAGCATTAATTGATCTAATATAGGAAAAAATTGTTGTATAATTCAAAACAAAAAAAAGAGATCGCTTTCAATAAATAATTTTTACTCCTGCAATTCTCTGCTATCCTTAATTATTTTTATTGTTTATAAATTGAAACAGCTGTTATAAATTATGATCATTCACAATTGATTTTTTTGTGCTTTGTCTTCTTTTGATGACGTATATTTCTCCAAGCATCCACGTTTTCATAAAATCCTCAGAAATTTATTGAAAATTAAAGAGTCATGAGCGGCCTTACATATGAAGAGAAGAAAGGATTAATTACACGTAATTTACAGGAAGTCTTAGGAGAAGATAAACTGGATGCGATACTGAGAGAACGTGATTTAAAAATATATTGGGGTACAGCCACAACTGGCAGACCCCATGTTGCCTATTTTGTGCCCATGTCAAAAATTGCCGACTTTCTCAAAGCCGGTTGTGAGGTATATAATTAAACACTACAAACTTAAATGGGAAAACCTTAACACTAACCTCTTGATTATCATTTTAATTAGGTTACGATACTTTTTGCTGATTTACATGCATATCTAGATAATATGAAAGCTCCATGGAGTCTTTTAGAGTTGCGTGCCCAATACTATGAAGCTGTTATTAAACAAATGCTGTCATCCATTGGTGTACCTTTAGATAGATTGAAATTTGTTAAAGGTACCGACTATCAGCTATCTCGCGAATATTCCTTAGATGTCTACAAGTTAAGTTCAGTTGTGACTCAGCACGATGCTAGAAAGGCTGGTGCTGAGGTAGTGAAGCAAGTAGAATATCCGTTGTTATCTGGTCTGCTGTATCCGGGTTTACAAGCTTTAGATGAGGAATACTTGAAGGTCGATGCACAATTTGGTGGAGTAGATCAAAGAAAAATTTTTACGTTTGCGGAAAAAAGTTTACCGCAGCTAGGTTATGAAAAACGCATTCATTTAATGAACCCCATGGGTAAGGCGAATTAATTGAGTTCAGTATGCTGAGTGCAATCATTTTGCTCATTTTAGTGCCAGGCTTGGCTGGTGGTAAAATGTCCTCTTCGGAAGAGGATTCTAAAATCGACTTATTAGACACTCCAGCCGATGTTAAAAAGAAGCTGAAAAAAGCATTTTGTGAACCTGGAAATGTCAAAGATAATGGCCTGTTGTCGTTCGTCCAGCATGTTTTATTCTCTTTATTCAAGGAAGGCGAAGGATTTGTAGTTTGTCGCGCCCCTGAAAATGGTGGGGATAAGACTTTTAATAATTACCAAGATTTAGAGGAAGAGTTTGCCTCTAATAAACTCCATCCAGCTGATTTAAAGGCAACAGTCGAAAAGTATATAAATCAATTATTGGATCCAATACGGAAAGCTTTTGAATCAAGTCAATTAAAGTAAAGAAGAAATATAGCAGCATTTACCTACTTTTATAAATAATTTCATTTTTACAGACAATTAAGTAGCGCTGCTTACCCTATTGCTAAAAAAGAACAAGATGGCCCCGATCGTTTAGATATACGCGTTGGTAAAGTGGTGCAAGTTTCTCGGCATCCTGATGCTGAGAAACTTTACATTTTGCAAATTGATTTGGGCGAAGATGAGGTGCGCACAATAATTAGCGGTCTAGTTGCATATGTAAGTGCGGAGAAATTAGATCAATGTTTGGTGGCTGTATTGTGCAATCTGAAACCATCCAAAATGCGTGGCATTTTATCCGAGGGCATGGTTTTATGTACATCTAAGTAAGTTTGTTGTTTTTTTGCAGTATAACTCAACTTTTCTATTTAAAAATATTTCAGTGCCGACCATACTATTGTGGAACCGTTAATTGTGCCATCTTCTGCCGCAGCCGGTACTCGTTTGGCGTTTCAAGGATATAATGGACAACCGGAAGAGCAACTTAATCCGAAAAAGAAGACTTGGGAAAAACTTTTCGTCGACTTTAAAACCAATGACGACGGCATAGCTGTATGGAAAAATAATTTCCTCTTAACACCAGACGGCGAGAAGTTAACAAGCAGACTGAAAAATTGTTGCATTAAATAAGTTCATATAATCCCTAACTCTGCGATGGATAATTTATTTTAGAACATTTAATTTACTTTACAAGGAATGGCACATACGTTTACTGATTGAAAAATTTTTCAATTCAGTTCTTGGTATGGATATTAACGAATAAACCAATTGATGAAATAATTAGTCCAATAACTTAGGAAAAAATACAAAGGAACACAACATTTGTAAATCTTTATACGCAACTACCACTCTTATTGAAAGGAGAGTAACGTGGAATAAATTGTGATAAATTATATCCCATATCCTGCTTATACGATATACTTTATTCCAAAACAAGACTAAAGGTCATATTTAACTTTTTTATTAATGAAAACTTAGACAAGTTTAATACGCTAAATAAAGCTTCACCTCTTAATCCAAGAGATAAATGATCAAATTATGGATTTTTGTAAAGTTTACATCACGCCGTATCTTTAAGTTGCCCAGGTTCGTTATATGTGCTTTTCTCCTTTACGGAATCCTCTAAACGCTGTAAGGTTACTTGTTTACCTAAAATGTTCATCATTTCAGCTACTCCAGGTCCATCCTGAAAGATACTTGCAATTAATTTTTCAGCACTGAAAAGAAATGACAAATACGATTACGTTTAATCCGCTAAGCGACGTTCTTAAAACTTTCATAAAGAGAGGGAATTTAACATTTTTCTGTTTTGCGAAATTCTTGAGTAATTTTTTTAAATTCTCTTTCGTAAAATCGGCAGATTTCAGCATATTGTGCAATTCCATTAATTGATCTAAAAGAAGTTCACTATTATGAACTGCAGCTTGTTTATGAGTTTGTTCAATTCTAAAGCAAAAATATGCTTTGCGTCATGAATTACCTTCCTTCAGTTCCTTAGAATGAAAAACACTTGGCTTAATCCATAGAAAACTTAGTTGAGGTGAGGTTAAGTCTTGTAGAGATGTTAAACGTTGCGACGACCATTGTAGAACATTTTTGATATGGGACGAATTTAAATCCAAATCTCTTTCAATGAAAAAAAAAAGGGTTTTTTGTTACTTATTAAATCCTTTACGATATTGAAATGAAAACCTACCCTTCTGGATAAGTTTCCCTTACAAGTTTTTGAATCTGCTTTATTAATATATCGGCTGTACGATCGTTCTGTAATAATTCTCTGATTTCCAAACGGTTAAATTCATTTAACAAATCAGGATTCAATCGACTGGGATGCGAATTAACTGAAACGATATCAAACTAAAGCAAAAAATACTTCGAGCTAAAAGGAAAGTAAATGGTGATCAATACCGTTTCCACAAGTTCTTCCAAATTGTGAAGCGTGGGTTTAGCAAACTCCTGATGAGGAAAGCCGCCACCAGCTGATATCACATAGTTAAGCAAAGCCGTAGGAAAATAACCCCTATCTCTAAGTTTTGCCATAATTATCTTAAATAGTCTAAAAAAATGCCTTAAAATAAACACTTACCGAAAATGTCTAATCCCTATATCGTCTTGACGTTTGCTTAACTTTGTGCCATCGGCATTTACCAAAAGTGGCAAATGTCCGAAATTTGGCGGCTCCCAGCGGAACGCTCTACTCCAAATAATTACAATTGAGTCTGATTTTTTTTTTAAATGGAATACAATACTCACTTGTACATTAATAAGTGTTTAACGGTAGATATTTGCCATTCTACTCCACGGAAGACATGCGTTATGGCCATAAGGTGATCATCGACCACATTAGCAAAATGATACGTGGGAAATTGATCCGTTTTCATTATTATTGGATCACCTTCACTATTACTAACGTTGTGATGCACATCGCCATAAATCAAATCGTGTAAAGCTTCCTCGTAGTCTGTCAACTTAAAACGTACACAGTAAGGTATCCCTTTATCGAGAAGTTCATGCGTCTTTTCTTTGTCTAAATAACGACATTTATTATCATATTTAGGAATTTGACGTGTGCGTACCGCATCTTTTCGCAATAGTTCCAAACGTTTCTCGGTACAAAAACAACGATAGGCTGATCCATTTTTTAAGAGCGTCTGCACATTTTCCCTTCATAAAAGATGAAAGTGATTACTAGTTACTCTAAGCAATCGTTCTATCTGCTTCACTTACATATAGATTTGAGTTCTTTCACTTTGCTTGTAAGGTCCGTAAAGGCCACCAAACTGTCCAGGTCCTTCATCTATTGCGATCCCTGCCCATTGCAAATCCTCTATAATGCTTTCAGTGGCGCCGGCAATGAAACGAGCTTGATCGGTATCTTCGATACGTACTAAAAATTTTCCTTTTTGATTTCGAGCATACAGATAATTATATAAAGCTGTACGCAAACCACCCAAGTGTAAATAACCTACAGGGAAAGGTTAAAATGCTTTAAAATAGAAATTCAGTAGTAAATTTTTACCGGTGGGACTTGGAGCAAACCGCACACGCACTTCCTTTGAATAAAATCTGCGATGCATAAAATGTTGGCAAATGGTCTGTGGTACTTTGAAATTTAATTTTAGCATATCCTTTAGTTTTTTAGTAATTAAATTTAAAATATCTTTGAATTTTTCCCTAATGATTTGCGTGACTCTGCACAGATCAGATGTTTAGTTAAAAAAAAAAAGTTTTTTAAGAAGAACTTTAGACGGAAGCATATGACAATGCATCTAACATTTCTCCCATAATATGAAATGCGAAAGTCTATAATTAATCCATACAACCTTATATAACTTATCAACCGCCTTGTCGTAATGCCTCTTCAAAGCCGTTTAACATTTCTACTGTAATCGCTATCTAAATCGAACCTCACCTCAGCCGTTCTCGTAAGACTTATATAAAGATTTTTTAAAACATTTGTGTGTTTGAAATTTTTTTGACTTTTTGTCGATTAATGAGTGGGTACAAAAACTATGTTTGCATCGTGCTTCGTGATGTAGTATCGGCAAAGCGATATGATTTATAAGAAAACTTTTGAGCAACGAAAAAAGATCGATAGCGATAATTTGAAGTTATAAGTACTTATGACTATTGTCAGAGTATTGTGAGGGAATGACATCATTGTCACCACGGACACAAAAAGGGATCTTGAAGCGAACGGTGAGTTAAAAGATAGATTATAAAGATAAAGCGAACAGGAAGCAAATTATCGGCAAACAATGCTAATAACGTTTCAATAAGTTTCAACTATACGATGTTTTGAAAAATTAATATCATAAAGCATTATATTTATTATTATATTATATAACAAGTATATTTCAATAAATTAATGAACTAAAAAATTATTATTATTATAATTTATTTAAATCAAAAGAAGAAATTGTAGAACTAAATTCAAGCAAATAAAAAATAAATATTCGTTCGTAATTAAAAATATAAAAGTAAATAAAGTGATTAAACTCATAAAATTTTTGCCAGATGTATTTATAATGTAAGAGTTGAACAAATTCATCACTTAAGCACAACTTTTGTAATTAATCGTTGGTCTCTATCTCTTACATTACATTATAAGGTTAAAATAGACGAATCCATAACTACAATGTTCAAAAACCGAAACTTAACAACCCAAATTTTCAATAAAATTAAAAAAAAAAAGAATTAACAATAATAGTAAAATTTAAAAAATATTTAACAGCTTACTGGAAATATAAGTCTCAAAGTAGCAAGTCTCCGTATGATTGCGCCCTATCTTCATAAATACATCACTGTTTTTTTCCTCAATGCAAATGTATGCAGCAAAAGTGCATTTTGCCATATTTTGTATTTACATTGGTGGAATAGTGCAATGCAAGTTATATGTTCAACTATATGTAAATGCGTACAATCAATTCATTTCATGTAAAATGCACGCAAGAAATTCAATCAAAGCATTTAGCTCAACACCTTGTTTTATTATCAGTCGTATGTGATTATTTTATAACATCCCTGTCTTTTAAGTGTGAACAATGCAAAATTTGAGTGAAAAGTCTTAAAAGTTTTGATTAATAGTGTGAAATTTCTAATATTCCTAAAATATAAGAATTAAAATTTATAGTTGAATATTAAATATTTAATAAGCAGTAAGCAGACATGGGAGCTGTATTGGGTTTGTGCTCAGCCGCACAGGTAAGATGCAAGAAGCAATTATTTTTGTTTAAGCCAAACAACAATCGATTTTTTACTAAAGAAACAAACCTAATTACGTCTTTTGAAATTCCAATTCTTGAAAATTCCTTTTAGTGTGCTCTTTGTTGTACTGGCACAGCAGCCAGTCTGTGTTGTCAAGCTTGTCCTTCCTGTAAAAATTCCACTTCGTCGCGTTTCATGTATGCGCTTATGCTTCTGGTTGGCACTATATTGGGTGCTATTGCTTTGTCTCCGGGTCTGCAAGATACTTTAAAGAAACTGCCATTCTGTATCAATTCCACCTCTTCGGTGAGTTCCAAGGCTTTGGAAAGTTTCACAAGCAATTCTTTGCAAGTTGATTGCGAGTATGCTTTGGGTTATATGGCTGTATATCGCATATGTTTTGGATTGGCTTGTTTTTTTACTCTGATGGCTATAATAATGTGTGGCGTCCGTAATTCCCGCGATCCCCGCTCTCATATACAAAACGAATTTTGGGGTCTTAAATTTTTGCTATGCATGGGTGCAACAATTGGTGCCATATTCATACCGGATGGAGCGTTTGGTCCGGCCATGATGTGGGTAGGCTTAATCGGTGGCTTGGCTTTCATTTTAATACAGCTTATAATCATAGTGGATTTTGCTCATTCAGTAGCCGAATCTTGGGTTGGTAAGAAAATTTATTGAACTGGTTTTTTGAGTAAATGCACTTAATATATTTTGTTAAATGCAGAGAACGCCGAAAATAATCGCGGTTATTATTATGCTTTGGTTTTCGTAACTGTCATAAATTATACTCTATCCTTAATTGGATTTACTCTACTCTACGTATATTTTACTCAGGTACGCTACTGATCTGAATAAAAAAGAAATTTCTTTTACTTCAATGTCACTTTTGTTAACATTTTAGTCCCACAATTGTAGCTTAAACAAATTTTTTGTCTCCGTTAATCTAATATTTTCGGTATTTGTGAGCATTGCATCTATATTACCAGCTGTGCAAGAGCGTTTGCCGCAATCTGGCTTACTGCAAAGCTCTCTCGTGACTTTGTATACCGTTTATTTGACATGGTCAGCTTTAGTTAATAACCCGGGTAAGATCTACACAAATTTTAATTTATCTTTCCATTTTTTGTCTATTTTTTGTTTACTTTTATTTTATATTTAGAAAAAGCTTGTAATCCTGGCATGTTTGGTATCATTGAGGGAAACACCAACACGACCATAGCTCCGCCTACTGTAAATACGAAAGTTACTTTTGATGTCACCAATATAATTGGATTGATTGTTTGGATGTTATGCATTATGTACAACTGCATACGATCTGCCGTCGAAATTTCCAAAATTAGTGGTGATGGTGAAAAGAGAGGTAGGCTAAGGTTAGGGAAATAATAGTCGCCGTAAAGGTAGCATCTTAAATCACCCCACCCAATCGTGTAATATAAATTCAATTGGTTTATTTCATTTGATTTGGAATGCTCACTAACATATTAAACTGTAGACACTCAGTCAGCCAGCGGTTTTTAATAGACTAATTTATGTTCGTATATATCTATCTAACTAAAATCTGTCTGTCTATCTAAATCTAACTCCAGGCCAGGCATTAGAATCATGGAAGCAGATAAATACCTTGTTCTTGCTTGCCGTATATAAAGCACATTTAGACTTTTAAGACTGACGTAATCGCCATAGACGAAAATTTTCGATATTTTCATCAATAATGGAAATTTAAAGCTGTTCTACTTAAGTTTATATGCTACCTTTTAAAAATATCATAGAACATATAGATTTTCCATTTCGTGATGTCTTCAGAAATTCTATATTTACCATCTTAAATTCCTTTATTTCATTATTTCATTTTCTAAAGTGCATTGAATAACCTAATAGCCACTACTAACAACAGTTTTTTTCTGCTTTTTTTTTTTGAATAATACGCGGACTCTGTTGAATAATATGCATGCCTGTCTCTTACTAATCAAACGTGATTTAAATAATAATCGATTTAGTTTTAACAGAAGTTTTATCAGATGCGGAAACGGGTACCGATAATAAAACTTCTGCTGATAATGAAACGGAAAATGTTACTTACTCTTGGTCCATGTTTCACATTGTCTTTGTATGTGCAACTTTGTATATCATGATGACTTTAACGAATTGGTACAAGTAAGTTGAAAACTGTTTCATTTTGTAATTATATAAAAAATTTTTGATTTTGTTCTTGCTTCTTGTCTCCGTATTTAGGCCAAATTCGGACATTGAATTATTTAATGCCAATATTGCTTCAATGTGGATAAAAATTATATCCAGCTGGATGGGATTATGTATTTATGGTTGGAGTCTAATTGCTCCGGCTATATTAACTGATCGTGATTTCAGTTAAACGAACGAACTTTTTGTAGTTATTGTCTTATTTATCGTGTGTGTGCAACTATAAAATATAAATTGTTTATATATAGGAAGGAGAATCTTCAAAAATATTTGCTATATCGAAATTTCCTTTAATAAGAAATTCAACTTAATTCATATGTGTTAAATATATTGAAATACATTAATATTCATGGTATTAAATATATCTCTAATCCATTTAAAAAGAGCTGTTTATATAACTTTTATTTTCGTTCACTTATAAACGTACATTTCAAGATATAGTAATATTCATATATTCATCTCTCCATCCGACTCCTGATAATATACTCATTGACTGTGCGTATTAACCTTTTTATGTACATTTTTACAAAGATTTGCATCAACTTTTGCAAATAAAAATTATAATTACGTAGTGCTTTTAAAAAAATTTTCAAAACAGTATATATATATTTGTGTATGTATATATATACATATAAGGCGTTTGCAAAAATTTCATTTGAATTTCATATTTTCATTTGAAAAAGGCATTTATTGAGAGAAATTTTAACAACATACATTAAATCAAAATCTTTTCCATTATTTCCTATAAGATTTTACCATATTTCTGACAACGTGGCGTTATCGTGTCGAAAGAATTTATATTGGTTTGACAGCGATCCAGCCAGCGACCCATTTTCTCCTTTCTTCAACTTTCCGGAGCCGCACGCCAGCCACTCTATGCTGCACTGATCTGAACAAATGGTGATTAGAGGATGCCATGTCTGACGAGTACATTGGGTGTGGCAGAACTTCCCATTCAAGCTGCAGCAGTGTATCCTGGACAACTCTTGTAACAAGTGGCCAAAAAACGGTGTTTTCAGTCAATTCGTGTCGCCACTTTTCAATCCTTGGAACCCAAATCGACAATTGCGATATGATGGAGCAGCATCACTATAAGCCTCTGAACGTGTTTCATGGGATTCGGCACCAGATTTTTACAAATAAACAATGAAAGTAACGAATTTGGAAGAAGAAGAATTTTAAGCGGTGCATGATTAGCGTCGGCATACGCTGAGTAAACCAATAAAATTAAATGGGAAATAGTTATTTTATGCAGAGGAAACTCAACAATTTTTTATATGTAGAGGTCACTGATCGAAATATTTGCAAACACCTAATATGTGTATTTATATATGTATGTATATATGATATTGCCTTGAAATTATGCATCACCAAATCAGTTCATCGCATTACAAACCATATTCCATTTGAGTATTTCTTTAAGTATACGATGGTTTAAAATGCTTTCTATACACAATTTTGGCATTATTATGGTATACGTTAAATGTTGAAAAAAAAGCTACGAAACATTCGCCGAAGGTATATTTCTGGAATGTAATGTAGAAGAAGCTATAATGAATTTTGCAATACATTATATACGTATATCAAATCAAACCACCACTGAATGACGGGGGCATACTCTTTTTTTTTTGTCACACCCGAAAGGAAGCTTCAGAGAACGTATAAAGTATATATATATACTTGATAAATATGAAATTCTGAGTTTATTTAGTCATGCCCGTCCGTGTATGTGTTTGTATGTCTGGGTCGTGCGTGTTGTCGACACTCTCCTGGTCGCGAAAATGAACTCTGAACTTCAAATTTAGGATAAAATATTGGAAGGTAGTGCGCGTGGATTGTTATTGCAAATGGGCCAAATTGATTAGGGCAGAAGCCCGGAGTGGCGCATAAACTGAATGCAACTCCGTTTTTCTTAACAAAAATTGGTAGGTTTTTGCTTGTTACTCAGAAATTCCAAAAGTTACAAGACTGATATGGTCCACATTTACTTTATGAAACACTCTACTCTTTACGTGCAAGAAAGGGAAAAAATCACGCCACGCCAGGCCACGCCAACACAAAGTTACAAGTAATTAAATTTTATTTTTTTCACGTTTCTGCCGTTGTTTGCTTATTTATCATCATCAGGTAAACAAGACAGAATGTTTAAAACTATTTTATATATAACTAACACTCGTCAAATGAAGATACATTATGTACCTAAAAATAAGTTAGTTCTAAAATGAATATGGTACCACGATTAATTTTTTCTAAACAATATCAGCGATATGGGTATTAAATAAGAGAGCTTGGACAGTAGCATGCGAAAAGCATAGTGATCGGTGTGCAAGATATGTGCGGCACCCTCCGAATATGACTTTCTTACTTGTTTATTTATGCAATGATTTGAGGTAAAACATATATAAACAAAGGGCCTCACCAAACATCCCCTGAGGGGATTTGTCGTGCTAGGGCAAAACTCATTATATTACATTTAGATCTGTTCAAAAAATTTTGACTGAAAAATAGATGAAAGTTCTTGGTTTTTACAAAGACGTCCATATATTGAGCTTCCATCGGCAGCTATCCTTATTCTCAGCGTACATGCAAGTAATCCCTGTATAACAAGTCACTTTTACTGTACGAATTTACTCTAACACGGTACAAGAATTGCGAACTGCCCCTTATAACACTTCTACAGCAAGGGCTTATTTTAACATATTCTAACACGGTTCAAGAATTAGGCAAAATGTAATAAAAACTATTAAAAGCAAACTTTAGTGAATTTAGTGAAATACTTTAACTTTACTTGAAAATTTCGTCTACAAAGCATAAAAAAGGGCCTACGCTTAGCCGAACACATAAAATCACCTTTCTTAAGTGGAGATTCTTCAAGTGAAAGGGCACAAAATTGAAAAGAGAACGTTGTAAGTGGTTAGCAGTATGTAAGGGAATTTATAAGGATGTTTTAACAAAATGTTTTTCCAAATGGTAGAGCATGGACCGGAAAGTAAGGCAGTAAAATAGTCAAGCCCGCTAATGGTACACAGTGAGGACGAGGAAACGATTATTTAATTAATATCAAAATGTATTACTTGTTAAGAAAGTTTTTAATTATGTGTTTTCTTGATTTTTGGAAACTAAGCTTCCTAGGAGGGTCATGTTCTGGAGCTTAACTTCTGGGCTATACGGGGCTTACCTGTACTTAGGCCTTCTAACATACGTATTTAAATAAACAATTTAAATGGACGGCAAATTGTTCCGTTTCTTCCAATAATTCTCACTCAACAAAAAGAACACGTTAAGAAGTGGAAATGTGATTGTGGAGCGAAAAAACTGCCTAAACATTTAACTGCAAACAAGTTAGGCAAACAATCCAAAAATAGATTCTCTCTTATTTCGAAAATGTTACTTCTGAGAACTTTCGTACGTATATAGATACATGCATTACTTCGCGGCTTGTATCTATTGGATTTTCATTACTGTGCAACAGCTGACGAAAGCGTGATCTTTGTAAAAAATTAAAATTTCCTTTTATTTATTTATTTAATTTTTTTTGTGTTAAAATTTTGTGTATTTTAAAAAATTGAAAACAAAATAAATAATTAATGTCGCATTTGGAATAAAATTGAGTGAAAATAGATTTTTTCATACGCTACGAACCATTCATTATTGTCTAACTTAGTTTCCTTATAAATTCTGATAAGGTTTCTACCTTAGTTGAAAATGTAAACAAAAATCATATGTTGTTTAGAAATTTAAGGGAGAAACGAGCTCATTCAATATTATATACTCAAACCTCCCCTCTCGATATTTAATTATTTCATTGTTGTATTCGATTAAACGACTCAAATTCTAATACTCATATCGTTCGGCATGTTTTTTTGTTTTTGTTTTCTTCTTTCTTCAAATAATGCCTATAAACATCGTATGGACGAGCAACTGCATAATATCCTCAGTTCAATTGCTTCATTCATTCATTCGTTTCGTTGCCGTTGCCGTTGCCGTTGTTGTGTGTGATCTGACATTGTAGACCTAATATACCAGCTGGTTATAATTCATTGTTTATTACCTTGGCAATTATTATAAAGTGTTACATTTTTTGAATTTTCCAAATATATTTTAATTGTGATTGATATTTTGTTCAGTGCGTCTTTTAATTTTTTTTTTTGTTTTTGTTTTGCTCACATTGTGAAGGAGTGTAAAATTTTGATAGAGTTATGTCGGTGTTTAGCAGCGTTGAACAGGGTCTTCCCATTGAAGTATTCGCTTTGAATCGTGCCTTCCAAGAGGACAAACATCCAAATAAAGCCAATTTGGGTGTTGGCGGTAAGTGATTTTCTTTTTGTTTCAAATTTATTTTCTCTTTCATAATTAGTTAACCAATACATGGATTAGCTGAAAATATTTTCATTATTTCTTTTTTCTTCTCTTCATATATTTAACGCGTAGGGGGAAAAAATGTGTTCTTCTCAGTTCTTAACTGAAGTTAAGTAACGAAAACAAACAAATTATTGAAAATTAAAGAAAAACAAAAAACCCAATAATGTTCGCCTTTGTGTTTAGCTTTATGCACGTTTACTGAAAAAGGATTCATTAAGGGCTGCCGCCATGACTGATTGATTAGAATCATTATTGGCAGATTCTTTTAACAATGTTTTCGGATGTGATTGTGTATATAATAAATTTGTCTTTTCGTTCGTTTGCGCTCGGAGAATTCATAACATTCTTGCATTCTATAATTTTTGAATGTAAGGATCAGTAGGGTTACAGTTAATAAGTAATATTGGTCTGTGAACTAGAAATATTTTAAATTTCAGAGATAAGATATATATAAGAGAGCGTAAAATATCGCCGAAACTTAGGGCTTAAAAGATCATTGATTTGAAACGTGACACTAGTATTTTACACTCGCCTAAGGTGATACTTTAAATATTTGAAACTTTCGTTAGTAACAGCACTTCAGTTTGTTCTCAGGCTCAGGCTTGGTTGCGGCATCGAATGCTTTACTTATGGAAGCCCCTAAACCTGAGTCGGCGGTGTCATAACATCTATTCGGATCTCTTAATACGTGGACAGACCTTTTCAAAGATGCATTTTAAAATCTGTCTCGTAAGGCAGGACCGTAGTCGATTAGACGATTAGAGCCAGCCGGTTGACATTCCATTGAATTTCTTTTCTTTAGAGAAACTTTTTGCCTTATTTTAGTCTGGAAACTTCGCTTAGTCGAATGTGGAATTTATTATTTATTCATATTGCAAGCTTTCTTCGAAATTCATCATGTTTAAGCACGACTTGATACCGATTGAATTACAGTTCATCCGAGTTTGTTTATTTCATGTTAAAGTTATTATTATATGTTGTTTTTTTTTTTTATATTTCAATTAACGTTAATAATGACGATTTTATTTTCGCAAGAGTTCAAACTTCTGACGCACTATACGACGTCAGGGAGGAAATTGTTCTTTCCAAATCAATTAATATAATTTGAGTATAGCATATTGTTTCAGGCAGCACAACTGTCTGGCCGGTGTATCTCTGTCTTTTAAATTATTTCATTTGTTTCATGTAAATTATTTAAATTTGTTTGAGTTCGATATACTTAGTCTCTTCAAAGCGAAACCGGTTTTTAATTAAAAATTTTTCAATTTCAATTTTGTTTTTTTTTTATTTTCATTTCTTTTATATTCAATTGCAGTCCATTGACATTGAACTTACAGAAGCAATGTCAACTGCATTACAAGTGTGCGTTTGTATCTTAAAAAAACTGTATCATTTCTCGGAATCGAATTTGTAAAGATTTCTTAAAAAACGCGACGAGTTTTTCTTTCATTTCTTCTTTTTCCTTTTTCAAATATCACCCTCCACACTATAATCCTATTTGAGACCATTGTTCGTTTGTAACAATTCCACATTGTTTGGTAATGTTGCTCAACATCTTTTAATAGACTTTAAAAGACTTTGTGAAGATTAATTTCAAAAGAAATAAATAAAAACACTATAGCGGGGTACGGTGCCTTAGACTATTCTACCATATAACGATTTTTCGAAATAAGGCGTTATTTGAGAAGTGGTTAAAAAACTGAAAACATTTTCAATATCATTTGCTCTTGGGCCGTATGAGTAGATGAGCAGGTAAGAAAAGCGACTGCCAAATTAGTGTCCGCGGGATCTAATCGCAATGCGATAGACTTTGCTTTGATCGTAGCTATAGTGAGCACTTAGTCGATTGGGTATACACCCATTAAGCTGCGGTCATAGCCTTCCTATGTCTTTCTTTTTCCTCATTTGCTGCTGCACGTTCATCGTGTTACACGAACAGGGGACCATCTCATGAGTGAAAAAAAAAACACAATAGCCTCAGTGTAATTGGAATAGGGTTCGAAAGAGGTTTTCTATTTGCGAACACTCTTGAGAGAGATAGATTGCGATAGGGTTGCGAATCTGTTCAATTATTCATTGATAATCAAGGAGGAAATCGATATAAAATACATTCGCTCCAATAATAATGGGCGGGCGATGTTTTTTACGAAACCATTGTCGAAGGAAAGGCATTTTATTTTCTTTAAAGCTAAGATAGAATATACTCGGCTGCAGCTGTTACCTTCTGCCTCACTAATTTTCGAAAGCAAACGAAAAAAAGTCCTTACACCAAATTTCATCAAACTATAGATCATAGGTTGAACACAAAAAAAAAAAAAAAAAAGACAAGCGGACAGACAAGCTTGAGATACACTCATCCTTTCTAAATCGATCGATGAAATAAAAGGTAAGTCTATCTCAAGTCCCTACGAGTTTTGTACACATCCGCACAAACTTAATATACCTTGTACCCAATCTGTGTAGGATATAGAACTATAAGAGACAAGCTACTATATATATAAAAATTCAGTGATTATCTTGTAAGATTTAAGAGTTTCATCATGGCGCTGGTGCTAGGAATTTTGCAACTTGATAGAAGTGAAAGAGGAATGTACGATATTCTATGCGAGAAACTGAGACAAAATAACTTCGACAACTACGACTTATACCGAACTGATACGACTTAAACTGAATTGAAGCGAATATTTATTGTAGGTGTTAAAAATATGCCGTAGACCTGGCGCTTCTACTCCCTAACCTCTAAGATCTGAGCAGTGTGCAGAAGCTTGCCTATGTTGGACATAAATTTGTATTGGGTATTTAATTGTGAAAACCGAAAAGAAATGCTCATTGCATACATGCTGTTAATGAAATCTAGTTTAACATTGAGCTAGTAGAGGTTATCTATCGATCAAATAAAGCGATTTATTGATTTTATTTTGTTTTAATAATTTACAAATACAAAGAGGAAAAACCGTTCCGATAGATTGTGAACATGTAAGCTGTAAACGAAATGAAGTTTTTTTTTGTTTTTCTTTTCTTTTCATTTGATTACATTTACGTGGCCACTAATTCGATTTAGTTTCGCGGTTTCTGCGCGTATGTGTAAATAAATAGAAACTTTCATAGATTATACGAAATAGGCTTTCAATGGGTTACATCATATTGTGATTACCAGCATGTTATTAAAACCCTGTTCAAAAACCCTGAAAATTGTGTATATATGCGTAATATGTATAAAATATAAATCCTATTATACACAATATTTTGGAAGATTTTGGTGGAAAAACTTTAAAAAGTCGCTATCGCTTAGAAATGCATCTTTAAAAGATCGCAGTCAAATTACCAAGTATGTCACTTTGATCCCTTTCAATTTTTGATCTTACAAGAAAATGCTTAAAACAACTGTAATCTGTAAAGTATTTTAACATGAATCGTTTGAAGGCTGTTACTAGCCAGCAATTGTATGCGTCTGTCAATAATACGCTTGTGTATTTATATCAGACCGGAAACTTATTGAGTGATGTGATACCAAACTGATGGCCATCATTTTCGATCCGAGCACGCACTTAGTCATGACGTAGGTGTCGTTAATAGTTTTACGGTAACATCAACATAAAAGTTATAGACAAAAATACATGAAAATATTGTCGATGCTTTTTGAAAATCGTTGTTATTTCTTAGCTATCGCGGGCGTGATAATTTTGATCACATTTCAGCTTCCTATCTTTGTTTTTGGAACTGTGCAAATGGGTCGGAAAAAGAGTATCAAAATGATAACTGTTAGTAGAAGTAGTAGTCGGATACCAAACGTGGGTACTTCTACTATTAATATTAATTGAAATGATTGCAATTAGCTTAGTTGAAGGTCGCCAGGTAGGTGAAAATTTGAATATCAAATACGCACAATTTCTGGAATTTCCTTTTAAGATATCTACGATACCGTATCGACCCTCTCCAGAACTTCCTCTTTCACGAATTTGAATTCGCTCCGGCAACAATTTGAAATTAAATGTAAGTAGGTAGTGTTCACAACACATTTTATTAGTCTATCATATTTAATTTGAGATTAATTGTGATTTAAATCGTCAAATTTTAAATTATGAAAGTTTACCTTAAAATCAATTGAGCTAAGGAAGTAATACAGCAAACGTTGGACTGCGTGTAAGTAGGTAATGTTCACAACACATATTATTAGTTTGTTATATTTAATTGTATTAGTTTTAATACAATCTTTTCAATCGTTCATGATAATTTTCTATATTGTGATATCACAATCCTAGTAAATAGATTTATAGTAACCAAGAATCTCATGATAGAATTTTTCAATACATTTATTAAATCTTTTATTATTATTCTTATTATTATTATTATTATTTTATACTAATTCTGTACATGTTTTCCTACACTTTCGATTCGACGCGCAGAGTATATAAAACAATAACAGAGAACTGCATACACAGATACAAATTCCCTTCCCAAGTATAATGCAGTCGTCATATTTATAAGATAATCTGCTTTTGACAGATAATAACAACAAAAAAAAAAAAAAAACCAACTGAGTTATGATAAATTGATTTAGATTTTTGTGTACAAATCAAATACTAGTAAGACGCGCAAGCTAATGACTGGACTTACATGCTGAAATTGATAACGTATTAATGAAATGAACGCCTTATCATGTGAGAAATGAGCTCTTTTACGTCCATTTATATATCAAAATTAATTTAACGACTTGGAAGAAGTGATATACTGTTATCTCACCGCAATAATACTTTTCCTTGCTTAATACCTTAGATGCCCTTAGATGTCCCCTTTGAAAGATTTGTTATATAATACGTTGCAAATTAGTATTAATAAATATATGAATAAATATTAAATTTAAAAAAAAAAAATTGTAACAAAATTGTATTCAGCTCAGGTCGAATCTGGTATATCCACCACCATTCATTTGACATGGCTTGTGTCCTTTGAGTCGTTTGGCCCAATTGCGATATAGGGAACTTTTTACTTCTTTATCGAAATTCCAAATTGATGTCCTCATTTCTGCGACCAGGAGAGTGTCAACGACACACATCACATACAGGCGGGCAGACAAGTCTAGAAAGATTAAGAGTTTCAGGAGTGATCAAGAATGTGTTCGCAGGTTGAAATCTCAAGTGTCGTAGAGTTTACTTGGTCCATTGTTTTAGTGAGCGTCCAGTTGGTAAACGCATAACACTTATCGATGGAGCGTACCTCCACTAGGCTGCGGCCTTCGCTTTCCCCATCTTTTTCCCGTTTCCCCACTTCCCTCTGGTCGTCACCGTCTTATATGAATTGTGGACATCCTTTGAGTTATTGGTCCATGCTAAAAAATACGAACGTACATACACACAATCACTCAAAGGATGTATATATATATGTCTTGGGGGGAGGGGGAAGGTTATAAACATTATGACAAAATGAGTGTACCACCATCCTCAAGTGGTAGGTCTAAAGCCAACCAGATAGAGATATTAAATTTTAAATTGTCTTAAATTCTATTTGTGACATTCGGACATACGTATCAGATATCCCGTAAAAGATACCTTTTTGACATGAAAATGCCAAGAGAAGTTACTGTTGAATTAACTCGGAATCCGGTATTGTCCGAGTTAGTGACACGTACATGCCGCAGTTTGTCACAAAAATAGGCCATTAACGCGTTACGTCATCAAAGATTAAGAAGTAAGAAAATTATTAAACCTTGACACCCTTCAATCCAATGCAATTCATACAAATTTCAAAACGGTTTGTTAACCGAATGCGTCCCAATTAGTCGCTTATGCGAATATTTTACAAAGTCTTTAACCGAAAGCTTCTACATTTTTTCCATTTAGTGTAGATATGTGTGTGTGTGATTGTAAGCAAATCACCCGTCTTTGGAAACTTAATCTGTTGCGCAAGTATTCTAAAGAAGAATTTTATAATCCTAGTAGAGTGAGACTAAATCTCACCTCTTCATTCGTGCTTGACATGCCTGAAAGCAAAGTCCCAATAAAAGACTACTACAATAAAAGATTACTACTTGTTCGTTTTAGACCTCTTCCTCAGGTTTGCTTGACACATTCCTAATACATCAATCGGACCATTGGATTTCATACATATTTCATTTTACATGATTTTAAGCGCCCCTTCGCTTCCATGAAGAGAAAAGAAAAGCAAACAAAAAATAAAAGCAAACGCAAAATGTATTCCTTTTGTTGGGAAAAAACAAAAACAAAAAAAAAAATAAATAAATAAAAATAAATAAATAAAGAGAGCACAATATTAAAAAAGTTGTGAGCACAATCTCCAGCTATTTGATTATCGTTAACAGAATTCATGGAGTAGTTTAATGATTATGGCGTGACTGACATAATAAGCAATTTTTGTGTTACTATTTGTTTATATATTTATTACAGGCGGTCTGTGCATATATAATCTATTTGTATTTGTATTGATAAAATTACACTTGTGACGAGCATCTACTGTTCAAAATTAATAAATTTTGTACCAACTATTTAGGCTGTTTATGGCGAGTGGTTGTAATCTCACTCACGTAACACTCAATAACATTGTTGCTTGAACGTAAACCGGTTTTTATCGGTTCACCAAATTTCCGCAAAATATTTCATAAATTTGTGATCTATAAGTGGAGCACTAAACTACGTGAACAGATATCAGACGAACGAGCGGACAGAGAGACAGGCAGACAAATAGAGAAGCTTAAACCGAATCAGGAAATATATGATCGAATTTTCAATTGATATTTCAAGTGCTTCTAGTTGTTGTATACATTCTCATAAATATAATAATTTATCCTGTACATCGAATCACGTAGGGTATACAAAAGTTCACTGTTATCAAGAAAACTAAATCAATTTCATCATTTTGTTCACTCAGCTTATAACCCTTTATACGCACTTATAAAATTAACTAATACTACTTTTATTAAAAAAGCTTAACATATCTTAGGCCATTGGCAGAATATAAGACATAACGTTTAGTGTAAAAATAAATAAAACACGTTATCTTTTCTAGCGATCAAAAGAGCAAAACTCTCTTATGGTTTAAATATGTATAACAGTCCCGCTAGCTTGCAAGCCTGCATTGACGGAAATGCTTAATAATTTTTTTACTCAAGATTTTAGATGTACCTATGTACCTGTCACCTCCGGTTGGAGAGGGACACTTTAAACTTTTTTGTTCCATTTCACCAGAGTCTATATAAAACTTCTACTTTGTTGATCAGTTATGCTGAATTAATATAGCCATGTCTGTCTATACGTCCGCTTACTTTTTGGTTGCAATTCTAATAATTTTAACTTATAAGCTATGCTAAATATTGAACTATATAAATTTTGGAGAAAATTTTAAGAGCGCTTTCTGAAAACTTATTCACTTGTGGGATTCTCATATATTAATTCCATTTTTAGTTGGTGGTGGTTAGTCTGAAGATTTTTCTTACCTCTCTTTTGATCTATAAAAATTTCTTTTATAATATCCATTAGCTTACCGTACGAACGAGGGCAAACCGTGGGTACTTCCGGTTGTGCGCAAGACGGAAATTAAAGTGGCGAGCGACGAAAATCTTAATCATGAATATTTGCCTGTATTGGGTAAGTGGATGCGTAATCCCATCATATATAGTACTCCTTGGAGTACTTTACTTTCAATTTGATCAATTAAAAAACATTTTTTTTTTTATTTTCTAGGCATTGAAGCGTTTACCCAAGCTGCATCTGCTCTATTGCTGGGTGAGAATTCTCCGGCTGTGAAAGAAAATCGGGTAGAATAATCGGATTTAATAATATATATATATATATATGAGCAATTTTGTAAGATACTTTACATTTTTAAGGCTTTCGGCATTCAGACGTTGTCCGGCACAGGAGCTTTACGTATTGGTGCTGTTTTTTTAAATGGAATTTTAAAACGAGACGTTTTCTATTATTCTAACCCGACTTGGGAGAATCATCACAAAGTTTTCATGGATGCTGGCTTCAAAAGTGCAAAAACCTATCGCTATTGGGATGCGAATAAGCGAAACTTTGATTTAGAAGGCATGTTAGAAGATTTAAATAATGCTCCCGCAGGAGCAGTTATTATATTGCATGTTTGCGCTCATAATCCGACTGGTATGGATCCTACACAAGAACAATGGAAACGTATAGCCGAAGTGATGGAAAGGAAAAAATTGTTTGCGTTCTTTGATTCTGCTTATCAAGGTTTCGCCAGCGGTGATCCAGATCATGATGCTTGGGCTGTGCGTTATTTCGTAGAACGTGGTTTTGAACTATTTTGCGCCCAATCGTTTGCTAAAAACTTTGGTTTATATTGCGAACGCGTTGGCAACTTAACGATTGTGCAAAATAATTCGCAAACAAAAGATGCCGTAGTCTCGCAATTTACATGGCTTATACGTGGCATGTATTCTAATCCGCCCGCTTTCGGCAGCCGCATTGTATCAACTGTATTAAATGATGCAATCTTGAGAAAGGAGTGGTAACATTTTCTATTATGAGTTCTGTGGATTTATCTTAAATGATTAATCACTTTGTAGGATGGATTGCATTAAAACTATGTCCAGTAGGATTCTTAAAATGCGCCAAGCATTAAGAAAACGTTTAGAAGAATTGAAAACTCCAGGAAGCTGGGAGCATATAACTAAACAGATTGGTATGTTTTCTTATACGGGTCTTAACGGTGAGTAAAGCAAGCAACTTAAGTGAGGATTTTTATTGTCAATAACATACTGTAATTCTCGATATTTTTTTACTATCATTTTTTTTTTTTTTCTTTCTTGCATATATTTAGAAAAACAAGTGCGTATCCTAATTGATGATTTTCACATCTATTTGCTTAAGACTGGTCGGATTAACATGTGCGGTGTCAATGAAAGTAACGTGAATTATATCGCTGAGTCCATCAACGCAGCTATTAGGCGTTCGGATGCTTAATATCTATCATATTTCTATTTATTTAAAGCATTTCTTTTCTTTCGAAATTCTTTAATTTTTTTCTAAATTATTGTAATGCTTTTCATCGGGGATAAAAAAATTTTTTAAGACCAAGCATTTTGATAAACATAGTTATAACGCCAATGATGCTTTAAGATCCAAAATTAAAAAACACATCAAAATGGAGACTTAATGGGGATTTAGTAGAGTCTGATAAAAGTCGTCTATACTTTAATTTAGACTATATATCTATATATATATATATATATATGACATATATATTCTTATATTTTTGATATGTTATTGCAATGAAACAGAATCGCAATCAAACCAATTGTTAGCTAGAAATATATATATTTACACGTTGACAATAATAAATAAATTAAATAAATAATATTAATAGTATAAAAATAGGAATAAAATAAAATTTATATTTATAATGATTTCCTATTAAGCATTTTTTTTTTAGTAAAATGAAAGAGAGAGGAATAAAAGTATAGAATAAAAAAAAATATTTTATTTTAAAATTTTTTGCAAACATATAAGCGGTTGTTGTCATATAGTCACTTATCCCTTTGAGAATGATGCAACCGGGTCCAAATAAACAATTTTTGGGCGATTTATTTTTAAAAGCATACATATATTAAACCCCAAGATGCGGTAGGGCGAGATCACTAGTCGTAAAATAGTTTTTATTGAAATGATTAACTCACGTCTACTCGTCTGCATTCGGAACACCTGTCCGCCTGTCTGTTTGTCCGAAAAATAAATATGCTTTTAAAGGTCTTCTTATCTTTCTTATCAGGTTAACCATATAACTGTGCATGACGAATATACACATCATGACCCGTTCATCCGTCCATGTCGAAACTTTCTCATAAATTTGTACATTGACAAGACCAGTCCGTCTACAATTAACAATGGTTTTTTTTTTTTTTTGGCGTCTTAAATTTCTCTTTAAGAAATACCCAATATCATTAATCGATCAACGTTTCGTTCACCATTTGTGGGAAATGACAGATAAAAGCAGCGAGGTGCGATAGATTTCGATGGATATCGTGGTTAAAGAAATTTTCGGCCTATCGCGTACAAGCTGCAACGTAACTTTGTTCTGATTTTTGTTTTGTCATATTTAATTAATTTAATTACAAGACGCTTATAGCGCCTTAAGTCTTATACAAAGGCCCTCGAAGGGATAGTCAAAATTGTGAATGATCATCTTTAAACTCTTGCCGCTTAGAAATGGTGCGATTATCCGAAATTAATGCTAACTCGTTTGTTTACGCATCCGCAAGTGAGTATTTAGATATTCATATTTCTTCCATATTGGGATTAGATGCTCTCCCATTGCAATTGCGTGTTGTAAGTCCAGATTGGTTTAATAACACGTAAGTTTGCATATCTTGCCCTCTTCAAACAATTGCGTTTTACAGGATCCTCTAATAAGCGTGAAATTGAGATAAGCAATTTAAATTCCTCTAATGCTTTTCAAACGAGTCTTTACAGATTTTAACTGCACGTATAATCAGCAGTAGGAATAAAGGTTAGACTATCATTGGCGAATGTGTGAAGTTAACTGCGATAATAACTTTCAGTCTATGCCGTGTGTGCGTGTGAAAGAACTTATGCAGAAATAAAACTTATCTGCAAGTCATTATGACATAATTACGCACATACACACAATTAATTGGTCAAGCCTTCTATTAGGCAAATATGTTCTGTGATCTATAAGATAATTAGCTAAAAATATTCGCTTTACTTTTTCTTGCTCAGTTTTATGAGGTTAAATAGATGGACATTTTACTTAAGGCGAGAGACGAAAAATATAAAATTTGGCGCTCGTTATATTATTTTATAAGATACGAGATACAAGTACAAGTGAAAGTATTCTAGTGGGGAAAATCGGATCATTAAATACCCTACGCTGTTTCACTAAGGGGTGGTAGGATTTCATTCTCTGCTGCGAAACAGTAGAGAGTGTAGCGTAGTAAGGTCTAACACAATTGTAGAGAAAGAGACATTTTATTTAACAAGAAGAAACTAACCTAAACTAAACTAACTTAAAATTAAAACCAAAATTCTGAATACTAATAGTAATAATTCATCAAGTTTTTGTTATTGTATCAAGGGTTAAATGATTCATTAAATACTCTAATTTTTGAATAATCTAAGCAATTGATCTTCCAAACATAGCGATATTACATATATTCGTAACTTTATCCCTGATCCGTACACGCTGGTCTTGGAGCCTCATTTCAACTTTGAATTAAAAATTTCCCCATTATCTCATATTACATTTTTAGAAATTTGTGTGATAAAAATTTTTAGTTTGAAATAACAAGAAATCAACCCCGCCTACTCCATACTATAAAGAGTGAGAATTTTGTTCTTTTACTTCTTATGTCTTTTTTTTTTGTGATGAACGGTGATGGCTATAAAAGATTAGTTCCAGATTGAAGTTGATTTTCTTATATGTTTATTTTTTATTAATTGTTTTGTTTATTTTATGTTCAAATTTTCACGAGTTACACTGCATAGCACAGAGATAACTAGATTAAATATCTATCTGTCCAGCTGGGAAAGCAAACCGTAAGTATTTTTCAAAACTTGATTTAATAACTAAAAAAATAATATATACGAGGTGTGTTCAAAAAAAAGCGCGACTTTTTATTTTTCTTAGAAAATATTTATTTATTCCTTCATCAATATGTATTTTTTCTCTTTCAAAATAATCCTTCTTAGACATCATACAATCGTATCTCCGCTTTCTCCAATCCCGAAAGCATTTGCTGATATAGGCGTCAAGGTCTTCAGTGATTGTGGCAAAACTCCGCCTTTTCATGGGTCTTTTCAGTTTTGGGAGTAGAAAAAAGTCACAGGAGGTTAAGTCCGATGAGTACGGTGGCTGAGGCTTAATCACGATGTTGTTTCTGGCCAAAAACGTATGAACAAGCAATAGCTTATGGGCTGGCGCATTAGCCTATTGCAATATCCATAACTGGTTGTTCAATAATGTCGGGCTTTTTTTCCGTATCAGCGCATAACTTTAAGATAATATCCCCTATTGATTGTACGATCTTTTGACAAGAACTCACGATACCGCAGCCCAATGTAATCGAAGAAAACAGTGAGCGCAATCTTCACATTCGGCCGAGCGTGTGTGTGCTTAGTTCGATCTTCGCTCCTCTACCCCCGTTCCATTGGGATAATTGGGTTCTTGTTTTGACGTCATAATTATATACCCATGCTCTGTCATCGGTTAGAGAACCTATCGAGCAAATCTCGATTGTCATTGACATCATTCAACAGCTCCTGAGCGCAGCTCATGCGACAATTCTTTAGATACGAATTTAACAATTTCGGAACAAATTTCGCTGACACACGTTTTATGCCCAAATCTCTTCAAATAATTCCACGGTACGGATCTACCGATCTGCCGATATCTTCAGCAACTACTTTAATTGTGATCCGACGATTCTATATAATAAGTTTGTTCGCCGCTTCAAGGTTTTTCTTGGTTGTTAACGGGCTGGGGCGTCCTCCTAGTACAGCTTTCGTCATTACCACCTTCTCGGTCTTCGGTGAAGAGCTTGAACCGGTCATAATAATTTTTCTTTTTTTTTTTTTGGTTTTCTTACTGAAAGCAAACTCAACGAATACCACAGTCAACATTTGAAGTGAGTCGGAGCACTTCATTATATACTTAATTGAATAAGTTGTCCGAATATTGTTGTTACGGTGGTTGCACTCAGCTTATGCAACTGGATCTCATTAGCTTGACAGAAAGTTTTAATGAAGTCAGTGCCAGTGTTCATTGGAAAAATTCAATAAAGCAAAATTCATAAATTCGCAAAAAGTTTATAAATTCGAAAAACAACGAATATGACATAAATTAAAACTAAATTTGACTTTCTATAGATAATAATGAAACAACAATTTATTGCAGTTGGTTAAAAAAATTATATATATATATAAATATACATGAATGGATAAAATTAAAAAAAGTTAAATTCATTCTAAAGCGAATTTTGCATACCCATCATATCAGGTAAATAAAAAGAGAGAAAGCATCGTTTTTCATTAGCAGCATTAAATTGTGCTTATTATCAATTACTTGTTGTTTTGTGCACTTCTTAGACGCAAAAGCATCAGATGCTTCCCCATTTTCTTTCGCAAGTCTTTTGATCATTTTAGTCTATTTGTAAAATTGTCTCAGTCAGTCGGGATTCTTCACATTTAAGATAAATGGACATATGGATATGGCGGCATATATATATATATATATATATATATTGAGGTATATATATTGTGCTCGCCGATGTTTATTATTAGCGGTTACAAGTCGAATGACAATAGTAGTGAATCTTTATCATGCAGCAGGGAGTAGAAAAAGCTTATTATTCACGCCCGCCTAAAACAGATAGAATACGTAATTAGGAGCAAACGAATATTACTTGCCACTGTCAGTAATTAGATTTAATGAACTGTAATGAAAATTTTGTATAATAAATCGAAATAATTTTGTGTTGTTCTCTTTTTGGTAGAAGAACACAAGATTGGCTAACCAATAATAGGTGGAATTTTGTTTGTTTAACCGCGTTTTCATACTATTTGTAAGATGTTATAAATCCTATCTCCATCGTGATACTCTTAATCGATAAAAATTCAAATGTCAAGTTTCACTGCCTTCCTTGTTCGCTTGATTAGCTTAAAAAGCTTAGTTAAGACTTAAACTCACATATTTATTTGATGCTTCGAGTGAATTGCCTAAAACAAGGGTAAATGTATGGTAAAGGTATGATCATGATAAGATCAAGTTTTCAATGATAAAAAAGAGAAAAAATTCCATTTAATTCAAATACACGCACACATGCACACAGGCACAAGCGTATGTTCAGGTTTAACAATTTAAGCATAAAAAATTTGTAGGCATTCGGTTAATTCGTTTTATGTATGTATAAACTTTGTTGTGACAAAATGGCAATTAACTATCCATCAGTGGGGCGACGGGGAGGCAAGAGAACAAATATAGACCGGTAGTTAAACTGTGTGTTCATCTAGGCATAATTTTTGATTAACTTGCCATTACAAATTAACTGACAAGCAAAACAGCCATTGATAATAATTAGTTAGACATATAGAAGCGTGAGCTCACGGTTATACGAAACTATTTGTGATCAAGCTCAAGCATGTTAATTGAAATGCTTTATAATTAAAAACAGGTTTCATGCGTGAAGCCCGTGAAAGTAGGTGAAAACACTTATTTATAGTTA